GCCTCAGCAACATCAAGCCCCATACGCGAATCGAATTCCACGCGGTCAAAAGCTTCGCCGCCAGCAACCTCAACCGCGACGATGTGGGCAAGCCCAAGGAGATGTCGTTCGGTGGCGCCAAGCGACTTCGCCTGTCCAGCCAATCGCAGAAGCGCCCGCAGCGCAAAGGCGAAATCTTCGCGAGTCTCCGCTCATACGCCGCGGAGGCCTACGGATCGACGCCCATGATCCGGACAACGCGGATCATGCGGATTCTGTCCGATCGACTCACCGCAGCAGGGCTCCCTCTGGACAAGGCGATCGAGGGTGCCAGTGCCGTTCTGGCTACCCTGAAGAAGGCAACCGAGTCGACCGAAGAGGCTGCGGTCACAACGCCAGTCGAAGAGAAGGCCCCAAAGGCAACGAAAAAGACCAAGGCTGCGGCAAAAGAAGAGGTCAAAGACCCGCGCGACGAGACCACTCAAATGATCGCCCTGTCGACTGCAGAGATCGACGAGATCGTCCGCGTCTTGACCAGCGTCAAGAGCAAATCCGACCCGAAGTGGGCCATTGAAGCCATCGACGAGCTCAAGACAACCCGAGCGCGTGCCAACCGTCAAAAGCGCGGTGAACTCTCTGTCGAATGCGCCCTCTTCGGCCGTATGGTGACCTCGGACATCTTCTCCAACATCAACTCCGCCATCCAGGTCTCTCACGCCTTCACGGTCCACGCAGCAGAGACCGAGCGCGACTACTGGACGGGGGTCGATGATTTCAAGGAGGAAAACGGTGAACCCGGTAGCGGGATGATCGATACCCGCCGCTTCGGATCGGGGGTGTTCTATCAGTACGCGCTCATCGACGTCACGCAATTGCTCGACAACCTGCGCAGCAGCTTCGTGTTGTTGTCTGAAGAGAAGATCCAGGAGGCCGCACAGGACATCCTGTGTGCGTATGCCATCGCTTTCGCGCAACAAAATCCGACAGGTCACCAGAACTCGTTCGCCAGCCACCCCGTGCCCGAGTTCGTCTACGTCGAGGTCGGCAACACGTTCCCGACCTCCGCCGCAGCTGCATACGAAAAGCCCATCACCCTGCGGCCTCGTGACAACGAGAGCTACAGCGACAAGGCTCGAACCGAGTTCCTCGCCTGG